AACTCTTAAGAGCAGCTGAAGATAGACAAACGTTTGCCACCATAACCGCTAACCTCCATTGATGGAGACGGCACTTGAAGAAGAATATTAAAATACATTTCAAATTTTCTTGAAAACAGACAATTTCAAGTTCGAGTTGACGGAACATATTCTCAAACAAAATGGTATACCACAAGGATCAAATTTAAGCACAACTTTATTCTTAGTAGCAATAAATTCGATATTAACAGAAATTGAAAACCCCGTCAAAGCTAGATTATACGCTGACGACCTAGTTATTTTCTGTAGAGGAAAAAACAGCAACGATTTACAATCACATTCAAAATGCGTTAACACACATTGAGAAATGGTCAGCTACAAGTGGACTTCAGTTTATCACTTCAAAAACGAAAGCAATCTATTTCTCAAAGAGAAATCAAATCCAAACAAAAGAATTATATCTACATGAACAAAAACTAGATTATGTAGAAGAAATCTGATTCTTGGGTATGACGTTTGATAAAAAATTAACTTGGAAGACACATATTCAACAGCTGAAAAAAATCCTGTCTACATGGTATAAATTTACTACGATCACTTGCCTTTAAAAACTGGGGTGCCGATTATTCAAGTTTAATACTTATTTACAAATCAATAATTCGATCAAAACTGACTATGGAGCCATCGTCTACAACTCCTCCAAAAAAACACATTTGAAGTCACTGGATATTATCCAAAATAGATGTCCAAGTATTTCTTTAGGTGCTCACTATACAAGTCCCATTCAGAGTCTCTATTGGGAAAGTGGAGAACTTCCTCTTTCTTTCAGAAGACAATATCTAAGCCTAACATATGCAGCGGTAGTGTCATCAAACCGAAATAATCCAGTACTGCATAACGTTTTTACTGATCGATTTACAAATAAATTTCAACAAACACATCAAATTGATCAACCTTTTTACTTTCGTATACATTCATACTTATCTAAATTAAATTTTCAATTTCCAAAAACCTATGATACCTCATCAATTCACAACCCTGCACCATGGACAATATCCTTTCCTGGTATCGACATTAGTCTAACAAACCTAAGAAAATCAGAGATATCATCAACCGTCATTAAACAAAAGTTTCATACACTATTAAACAGATATGGCAATACCTACAACGTATACACCGATGCGTCAAAAAATGAAGACAGAGTTGGAGAAGCAATTTATTCGGAAGACTCCTCAGTTAGTTTCAAATTGTCATCAATTACAACCATCTTTTCGGCTGAATTATTCGCAATTCTAAAAGTACCAGTTGTTCCCTTCAGTACATCTGTTGATAAACCGGATAAAAGGTGGTTATCTGTGAAAGAAAAACAAATGATCAAATCGGTTTATGAGGGATTACGTAGAAGAAATCAAAATATCTTTATAGAGGACGTCGCGGCATTGTGTGGTGATTTAACGAAAGTATCGGCTCGTACGGTTTTTCGAATAATTCAAGGTAATTAACCACTTCAAAAACCTATTCATAAACGACGTACACAAATTGTATAGGACGATATTACGAAAAGTATAATCCGAAGAAAAGTTCATGGATTTTATCTTAGGAACTAAATGCCCACGTTAAATGCTATTCAACGAGAAACTAATGCAGACGCAGATGGTACTTTAAATAAAATATCCATGCGGATATTACAAAGAACATTATGTGAAATGGATTTTCGGTATGTAACGAGAAGTCGGAAAAGTTTGTTAATCGAGAGAGACGAACTAGTGATATGGCGGAGACAATATTTACAAAAAATTCGTGATTTTAGATGTCTTGGGACATAAATTTATTATCTGGACGAGACATGGTTAAATAAGGGTTAATTAAAAGTTCACGACAGGCTTTTTATGAAGGACTTTCAACCGGCTTAAAAACACCTTGCAAAGGAAGACGTCTCATTATTATGCACATAGGAAGTGATTAAGGTTTTTTTACAAGGTGGTTTAAATGTCTTTACCTTTAATAAAACGGGCGATTATCATGAGGATATGAGTTCGGATGGGTTTGAAAAGTGCTTTTCCTCTATACTGACTGTAGAACCTGGATCGGTAATTATAATGGACAATGCACCTTATCACAGCCGTCTTATGGAAAAAATGCCGACTTCTGCATCTCGAAAGGCAGATATAGTAGATTGACAAAAAAGCAAAAATATAGATTTTGATGAATACATGAAAAAAGTTCAATTACTTAATGTAGTGCGGAAACATAAGACTTCCTATATCAGATTTGCAGTAGACGAAATGGCACGTGAGCATGGCATCACCGTATTAAGGATTTCACCGTATCATTGTGAATTGAATTCTATCGAACTGATTATATGGGCACATATAAAAATGAGGAAGCGCAAAAAAAACATACCCTTCAAATTAAAAGATGTTAAATTATTATTAGAACAAACCATACAAAATATAACCGCTTCCAACTGGCAGTCATGCATTAAACATGCACAAAAAGAAGAAGATAAACTGTGGGACGTAGACACGCGAGTTGATGTTATTATCGAGCCCATTATTAGTACTCCTGGAAGACAGTAGTGATGGTGAATTAACATCTGGAAGGGAATCAGCATAAAAAGATTTATTTTTAATAATAACTAATATACTTAGTTCTAGTGAATTTGTTTTTTGTTGCTGTTGTTGTTTTGTCATTTCCTTCTCCTACGAGGTTATATTATTGGAAGTACTTACCTAATAACTTTATTATTATTATTTCAAATTTGTTTCTCAAAATTAAGGTATACATTAGGCTGCTGGGACTATTATTATTATTTTCTGTAAAGCAGTTGGTGTTTACATTTGAATATAAATTTTATTTTAAAAATATCAATAGGTACATACGATCATTATTCCAATATCAGTACGTTTATATATATACATCGGTTTAGAACGTCTTTCGACGTTGTCCGATACCTGAACACCATCTCTTCCTATCTTCGCAGTCGTTTGTTGTTAAATTTCTTTCTCTTATGGACTTGTTTACGCCGTGTTGCCATTCTAATCTGGGTCTTCCTCTTTTCCGTCGACCTATCGGTTGCCATTCTACTACTTTTTTGGGGAGTCTTGTTGGTGGCATCCGTTGAACTTGCCCATACCACCTTAATTGTTTCTTCTCTATATCTTAAGTTATATTTCCTTCTATTTCCATACGTTGTTTTATTACATCATTTCTGATTCGGTCTCGTCTGGAAATACCTAAAGATCTTCTCATCGAATTGAAGAACTAATCATCAGTACGTTTGACGAAGTCTAATGTAAAAGGTTCCTTTCGAATTAGTCATCACAATGATTTCCCATATTTTAAAAATGTACACGCCACCATTGAACTACACTCGTCTCTCGTCTCGTGCCCCTCCTGAGTCTATCATTTTAAAGCGATACCCTGACAATCCTATTGAATTTGCACTATAGTAATTTTATTTTCAACGTCAACCGATCGCTCGACTGTCCACCGTCCCGAAAGAGTCGGGATGATATTTATGTTTTGTAGTAGTCTCTCAGATCAACTTAATCGACGTGAAGTGTTCGTTGTTCCTCTGTTTACGTCTACACAAAACATAGTTTTTTTGAATCAACCATCAACTAGTTGGCTTCTCAGTGAGAACTAGTTTGATATGGCATGCGTAATGCACGGTTTATAGTGGGTTGTTCTTTCATAAACCATAATAAATAAAGGCAAAGACAGTCAGTAGGTCAGTACTAGTAAAGCATTAGGAAGGAGAAGGTATATTATATTAAATTTACACTGGACGAAAAATCTGTAAATTTTTCATGGATTTAAGAAATTTTGTACCAGTATTTGTTTAATTAATCCACAAGGAATCTACGTTCCTGTAGTTGGCTGTATACCATGTATTAAAAATTTAATTAAAAATCCTTTGTAATAGGTATATTTTAGCCCAAACGGGCTAAGTTAAAAAGACAAAACGTTTTCGGAAACCATGTTCCATCATCAGTGTCTAGGAGTACATGAATGTAGCCACCAAGATTAAATATGTGGGTAAAAACCCGATTACATATGTTTAATTACATTTAGTTTTAAAATAATGTTGTAATGATATAGGATTATAGAGTTACCGATGGATTAGGTAACATGGCGACATATGACTCCACGTTGAAGTTGCTAGTCCTGAGACGGTATGTCTTCGAGGACTGTATGAGTGCAACTCATACATCATTTTTGATTAATTAATAATTTACGTGTATGTCCGAAATTCGAAATTAGGTTCAGATATCCTGGTCAAGAACCACTGCACAGTATAAATAGCAACTATTTTGTTGTGTATACTGTGACCACCGCTTCTACTTTGGGTTAAACATTTTATAGGTTAACCACAACCCGAGCTGTTAACCTTACATTATGAGACCTATATTTCAGGGTAACCTCTAGTTATCTCTTAACCTCAAACTAACTTTACTTTGTGAAACCGGCCGTAAGATGGAAATAAGCCCAATCGCTCATGATAATTTTCGATGAAAAATCATCCTTTTCTTCGTTGAGATTCAGGATGGCTCTACACTCAAAAACGCCCGGTTAGACGCATTTGGCAGTAAACAGCTAACAGCGCTTTGTAAGGAAACATCTTCAAACCTCTCACCAAAATTATGCGTAGAGACCGTCGACTAATACCCAATTGCGTGACACGTCGTCTTGTCGTAGTTCCAGACTCCTCTTCGACATCTTGGGCAACAGCAGCAATATTCTCAGCAGAACGGCTGCTCCTGGGCAGGTCAGCCTTGGGAGCAGCTCGTGTTCCATTCGCTTCCAGGCCTGTGGCCAAAACAATTATTCCACATTCTTGCGGAGTAAACCAATTCATGGCTTTTCGATTTGTATTTTGCGTTTGTTTACTTTAGAAAAGTCATAACCGAATTGACATTTGGCGCAATTTGCAAAAGTTATAGCGTTTTCTATACTTTTGCTCCACCTATTATATTAAAATACTGTTTATATGAAAGCACATTATTTTTCTTTTTCAGTCACAGTGTACCCGTCGAAATTGATCCAACGGATTGCATAACGGGGAAACTTTATTGTAGATTATGCTTTAAGTTCGTTTCTCGAACCCAGCTCGTATGTCTTGGACCGTTTCACGATAAAATGTATCCAGTAAGGAGTGATGACTTCAAACGAAATAAAATTCTACAGAGTAATATGTACATCAAGATGATCGATGCGTTGATGCCGGAATTTGTAAGTAAACTATATGGTATTAGTATTTATATAGAATTTTTCATACAAAAATCATGTCACGCCATTCAAAATTTACGGCGTTAGAACCCCACTGCGTTGCCAAAACATCAGAATAGTGAATAAGTGAGGAATTTTCAAAATGTCAAATATTACAGAACACACTAGCCAATTGAATGTTTAAAATGAAGAAAATGATCATATTTCAAAATTTATTTTTTACTTTTCAATAATGTGGAAAACGAGATACATTTAATCCAAAATATTATAAAAGATCACATAAAAATGTATAATTTTAAATACATTTTGAAACTAAAATAGTAGGGCACTTATTAATAACTTTCATTTTGTAATATTGCATCTAAATTGGGGAAAATTCAATGTGACATTAAAAAGGACTGGGAAAGCTAGTGTAATAAAAAAGGAAATAGAAATATTGTGAAATGAATGGACCAAATTGCGAGAATGTAAAATGGACAGAAAGCCCAACTGATTGATAAGATTATAGGAACGGTTTGGACAACATTCGGGAGAACCTAATCGAATTGCATTATGAAGAGGCCCTTCAAAAGAAACTAAAGAGTTCTTTTCTTCAATGGTCGTTCTTGAGCTTTAAATTACCATTTTTAAAGTTATCTCAACCTAAAAAATAAATAGAAATTTTAAAACTTATTCTTCAATATTCGCATTATTCAGATACACCCACAAGATAAAGAAAATATATAAATATATATATTTAATATAAAAAAAATACAATTATTTATTTATTAACGGGTACCACACTATTATATATAAAATATTACAAAATGATACATTAAACCAAAAAATATACAAGCAAATAAATAGTGCATTACAAGTAAAGAACAGAAAGAGAGCAAATTACAAATTGAAAAATTACATTAGCCGGTTTACAAACATTATTCAAGCACATAGAAATAAATCAATGTCTATTTTAATACCACTTAAAATCATTCTGTTCATTGGAAAATGTAACAAATTACACCTACGAACCTTGACTTTAAAATTGAAAATAAATTAAAGACGTAAACTCTAAAATTAAAAATAAATTAAAGATTATCCAATCAGTCAGCCTTGGATCAATCATTTCAGTCAATCTTGGAATTACGAAATTTATGAAGAAACATAGTATCTTAGACTTTCCTTCATAACACATCATGTCTTCTTCTTAGGGTGCCTGTCCGTTCCGAACGTTGGCGATCATTCTGACTATGATGACTTTGTTAGTTGCTATACGGAATAGCTGTGTTGAGGTCTTTCTGTACCATGCTCTCAGGTTAGCAAGGATATTCTTCTTCGTCCTGGGGCTCTTTTCCTTCAATTTTACCTTGCAAAATGCATTAGAGTAGCTCGTAACTGCCTTGATTTCTCATGATATGTCCCAAGTAGGTACTGCAGCTTACGGCTCTTCACGATGTTGACCAAAACCTCCGCAGTACTTCTTCATTGGTGAATTTGTCTGTCCATGTTAAGGATCCTTTTGTATAACCATAGCTCAAAAGCCTGAATTTTTGATAGAGTTTCCGCCTTTAATGTCCAGAATGTTCCGCCTTTCTGCTCCGTACAGAAGCACTGAGTATACGTAACATTTAAGGAGCCTTATTTGTGTTGCTAGGGTGGGCTCTTGAACACAGAGCTCATAGTCAAGAATGCACTTTTTGCATTTCCGATGCGACATTTAATCTCTTGTGTATTGTCCCACGACTCATTGATTATAGTTCCCAAGTAGTTGTACTGTGAGACACGTTCAATTTTCATTTGGTTCACATACAGATGTGCTCCAGTTATGTTTTCCTTTCTGATGATCATTAGCTTGGTTTTGTTGGTGTTTATATCCAGTCCATATGTTCTACTTATTTGCGTTATTTTGTTCATTAAGTTTTGCAGCCCTTCTCTGGTGTTGGAAAACACTATTGTATTTGCATACCGCAGGTTATTGAGCTTGACTCCATTTATTGAGATGCCTTCACCAATATCTTTTAGAGATGGCTCATTAGGCTTATGGTCCTATAGTCTTTACAAACTTTTGCTCCTGGTTTTTTGGGCAATGGTACAAACTCCGATTTGAGCCACTCTAATGGTATTTTTCCTGCCTGGTATATTTCATTAAATATTTCTTTTATTTTTATTTATTTAATTAACGGATATACCATTTTTACAGAAATATGACGTCAACCTTTACAAAGCTTATACATAGGTTGCGTTAATAAAAAACAAACCAAAATTAAAATCAAACAAAATTCAATTAATGTAGTAGCGTAAGTTATTAGATAATGCTCAAAAACTCTCAAATGATTTCTTAAATGTTGCTGTGCTCATTAGCAGTTCGTAAAATTCTTGTAATGGGTTCCTTTTGGCCATAATTCGTAGTGTGGAATGGAATGTTGAAAATCTCAGTGTTACGAGTTCTTCTACTATTAACATTAAAACTTATTAAACTTAGTAACTCTGGATCTTGAACATATATATATATATATATATATATATATATATATATATATATATATATATATATATATATATATATATATAATAGCACTACGAGCCTAGTAGGCCCATGGCTTGAGCTGTTATTGTTTTCCATTTCTTCCTATTAGTAGCCTTGTCCTTCCGTCTTTCTATTCCCAGTGTTTCTAGGTCTTTCTCTACCTCTTGCTTCCATCTACTTCTCGGCCTTCCTCTCCTTTTTTTGTATCCATTGTATACATCAGAATCATTTTTGGTACTCGAGAATTTGTCATTCTTTCTATGTGTCCTAGCCACCTGAGTCTCTGAGCCTTTACTACTCCCACTATACTAGGATTCTTGTACATATCTTCTAATTCTTTATTTGTTTTTCTTTTCCATGTATTGTCTAATATCTTGCCTCCAAATATCTTTCTCAAAACCTTCTTTTCCCATATTTCGAGCATACCTGTTTCGCCTTTTTTCAGTGTCCACACTTCACTGGCGTAGGTTACCACTGGTTGTATAACTGTTTTGTAAATCCTTATTTTGGCATTCCTAGATATCTGTTTACTTTTTAATAGCCTGTTTAATGAGTACACGCATCGGTTTCCTGCCATTATTCTTGATTGGAGCTCCTCTCTAATATTTGGTTTGCATGTGAACATCGACCCCAGGTATGTAAATCTTTCCACTGCTTCAAATATATATGCTTTTTCACCCTCTACTTCTATTTTTAGATTTCCTCCTTTTTGTTCACTGTCATCTATCCATTCCATGTATTTTGTCTTACTTTCGTTGATGGCTAAGCCTATTTTCTTTGCCTCTCTATCTAGCCTCTTTACTACTTCTTGTAGCTCCCATTTGCTTCGTGCCAGTATTACTACATCGTCAGCAAAGGCTAGACATTGGTGCTTTCTTTGGTATAACAATCCCTCTCTGTTGACATTTCATTTGCATCTCGTATGACCTTCTCCAAACACAAGCTGAATAGTATCGATGATAGGGGATCTCCTTGCCTTACTCCTTTACTGACTTCAAATTTTTCCGACATTATATTATTTATTTTAACTCTGCTCTCAGTCTTGGACAGTGTTATTTGTATCATTCTTATAAGTTTTCTACTGATACCCAATTCTTCTAGTGCTTTGCTCATTTGGTTCCGTTTTATTCTATCTATCTATCCTATCCGATTGTGTTGGTAACTTTCCGCTTGCAATTCTCTGAGCGTAAATATCTGATCTGCTGTACTTCTACCAGGTCTGAAGCCACATTGGTACTCGCCGACAATGTTTTCTATCACTCCTGCCAATTTGTCCTTTATACACGCTGCAAGAATTTTGTATGCAGTATTCAATAGTGATATCCCCTGTAATTTTGACAATCTGTCCTATCGCCTTTCTTAGAAAGTGGGCATATAATTGCATCTGTCCATTCTTGTGGTAGTTGTTCTTTAATCCAAATCTCCTTTATTAATTTGAACATTTGCTCCTCTAGCGTTTTCCCTCCATATTTGAACATCTCTGCAGTTATATTATCACTTCCTGGACTCTTGTTATTTTTTAATTTCTTTATTATTTCCTTTATCTCGTTTCTGGTAGGGGGTGTTTCTTCTGTCTCATTTATTTGGTTCCTATGTTTCTCCGTTCTTATAGGCTGTGGCTGTTCTATCCTGTTTTCGTCATTTAGCAATTCATCGAAGTATTCTTTCCATCTAGCGGCTATTTCATTTTCTCCACTTATGGCGTTTCCCTCTTTATCTTTGTAAAATATTGTTTTCTGTTGGTATCCTCTTTTTTCATTTTTTACTCCCTGATATAAATTTCTAATTTCTCGATTTTTGTAATTTTCTTCTATTTCTTTCAGCTGATTTTCCATGTACTTTCTCTTTTTCATTCCCAAAACTTTTTTTACGATTTTTCTTTGTTTTTCATATCTGTTTCTTGTTTCTTCCGTATCACTTTTGATCATATCCATCCTTAGTTTACTTCTTTCTTCAATTTCCTTCTGGCATTCTTCGTCAAACCAATCCTTTTTCTTTTTAGTTATATTTTTATTGCATTCTTTAGCTGTGTTACTGATAATCTGCTGAATTTTGTCCCAATCCTTATCTATGTGCCTTTCTAGGTGTATTGTGTCATCGTTGATGTATACCTTTTCCTTTTTGACGTCCTTTAACTTTGCTTTATTCTTCATAACTTTTATCTCTTCTTGTTGGTTTTCCATTTCTATTAGGCATCATCCTCTCCTCTATTCTTTCTTTTTGCTCCTTCATCTGTTGTTGTATCGTCACTGTCCATATACGTTTTGCCTTGTAGATATTTTTCCATCCTTGTATGCTTTTTCTTTTTTTGGTCACTTCGCGGATTACTTTCAACTCTGATTGGCGCCAGACACTATCTCTCGCTTCAACAGCTAAGAAGAAACAATATCTACCACTTCCTGTTGAATCCCCTATTCGAAGTCTCGACTAATTTTGTATTCCGTGGCAAACACGAAACTTTGCGCACATTGGCAACGTCACAATTAACTTAAACGTA